CAATAAACTTGGGTTCTGACTGTGTTCAGTCATAAATGAACAATAGTCTTGGAGTCATATCTTGATGCTTTGCAGACACTATGTCACGATATTATTCTTAAATCGCTTCAGTAACACGTGCTGTTAACAGTGTTTAATGAGTCTAAATTTCACGAGACTTGCGGCAGAATCAGCAAACAAAAAATGTAAAAAGCAGGTGATGATGATCAGAAACAGTCAGAAGGTTAGGATACATAGTATAAAGATAAAGTCAGTCACAAACAGCTAAAGGTAGAAACTAAGACGGTTCTGAGGGAAAGGGAATGGATGGATAAAGAGCAGGGAACTGAGGGCATCTAGTGGGCAGGGGGAGAACTGCAGATTGTAGTTGCCGTTGTGAGGATGTCAAGCATCCATCCATGAACCACGGCAGACCTTCTGAATTATGAGACACACATGTGTCGCACATGTTTTAGTATTTTAGCAGCATCTTCTTCTAGGTTCTTGATGAAAAGTAGGAACAGCTGCCAGTGGAATCAGCAGTGGTCTGACAAAACAGTAATGGTTTGATTTGTACAATGATGACTCAGGTCTCTTTTATTTTACTTTGCTCCAGTCCTCTGTGCAGTTTTGCCAAACAGGGCAAGAACTTTTTCTTTCACATTTTCTCTAAACACTTCATAACCCTGCATTTGTGAATGAATGGAAGAGCTGTCAGGCGATACTTTTATTACCAAAATCATCAGGCTACATGATAAAAGAAACCAAACATACCTACATATTATATTTGATACAGATGCTCGTTTACTAAAAGTGCCTGACATTCCTGACTAAAGTTTGTGTTTGTGTAATAGAGGCAAATATGGTCTAATGTGCTTCATTTTTCAATGTTACCTCAGGGTCTCTGTGGTCTAAGACATTTCATTTCTGATTAGTAATTCAGCAGGAGAATAATATATTGTAATAATATTTTGGGGGCTTTTTAGCCTTTAATGTAATAGGACGGTGGAGAAAGATGAGGGGAAGACAGTAAACAGCCAGAGCCATCTTTATGGCTCAAAATGGTGCATTGTATTTTATGCATATTTACTTGATATTTCCAGGACCTTTTTTTTTTTTTTTTTTTTTTTTACAAATGTTTAATTTCTCAGAAATTGAGGGAAATGTTTAAAGCGGTTGTGAGGCAAGTAAAAATAAGAGAGTAGTGTACTGTAATTATCTCAAAGTAATGGTTCATTTTGAAGTTGCTTCTTCATTATTTTTCTATAAAAGTTGCTGATGCAACAACAGGACTCAAATGTGTGGTCAAATCAGCACACAAACTGCAGGTACACAAAAGCAGAGAGACACGTTCTCTGCTGTGTACAAACTCAATGGGAAGCAAAATTACCCTTTGGGGGTTTCTATAAAAAAAAGAAGAAGACGAAGAAACAAAAGTCAAATGATCTTTGTGAGCCGAACACCTTTGTGAAAAACTTTTCAGCCAAGCTCTAGCTGGGTTAGGGTTAGTTTCCCCCGACCTCCTGTTTCTGAGTTTGTCCCTGAGTCAGCAAACCGATTTCCTGTTTCCGTGTCTGTGTAAGCACACAACCTTTCTGTTCATGAAAACATCCCTGGGTCAGTTAACCAGTTTCCTGTTTCTGAGTGTAAATACATAGGTGACCTTTCTGTTCCTGAGTATATTCCTCGGTCAGCTAACCAATGTCTACTTTCTGAATATCAGACAATCTTCCTGTTCCCAGGTCTGTGAGAGCTGATGACCGCCAGTCCGTGAGATTGTTCCTGGGTGTGGGTCACCTGGCATTTCTTTGATATACCACTGTGTCTGATGATCTTTAAATCCATTTCCATTGTGTTCTACAATCAACCTTCAAAGATCTAGAATCATTTACTTCCTTAGACATACAGACCACAGGACTTATGTTAAGCCAGTTTACTGGGACCATAGGTGGGGTTATATAACAATATATATGACGTTATTTATACATACTGATGTCCACTACACACTTAAAAGCGATCTATCTATCTATCTATCTATGTGTGTGTGTGTGTGTGTGTGTGTGTGTGTGTGTGTGTGTGTGTGTGTGTGTGTGTGTGTGTGTGTGTGTGTGTGTGAAAGAAATTGGTCTTCACCAGTCAGCAGGGATTTGTTCAAGACAGTTAGAGTTAGAGTGACACACTTGCATACCTTATTGCACCAAGCACTGACAAGCTGAGACTTGTGCAGGGACAATGTTATTCTCTCTGCTTTTTATTTGTGAACTAGGAAAATGTGCCACATATATATCAGGGCACTAATAGTGAAATATCAAATGAAACATAAATACACCATGAGGAGATAATTTGCTCATTTGCAGTGCTGGTTTTATTATGAATTATTTGTGAAGTATAGCACCAGAAACTGAACTTCCTACATCTCATCACCCCAGACATCATTCTTTATGCTTGTGATAGGCAACAGTATATGCTTCCACTCCACATTAGCACAATGTGCAAATACTCGATATTGCTAATATATTGACATAGAAAGGACCAACTACCAAGGTCTCTTTTATTTTACTTTGCTCCAGTCCTCTGTGCAGTTTTGCCAAACAGGGCAAGAACTTTTTCTTTCACATTTTCTCTAAACACTTCATAACCCTGCATTTGTGAATGAATGGAAGAGCTGTCAGGCGATACTTTTATTACCAAAATCATCAGGCTACATGATAAAAGAAACCAAACATACCTACATATTATATTTGATACAGATGCTCGTTTACTAAAAGTGCCTGACATTCCTGACTAAAGTTTGTGTTTGTGTAATAGAGGCAAATATGGTCTAATGTGCTTCATTTTTCAATGTTACCTCAGGGTCTCTGTGGTCTAAGACATTTCATTTCTGATTAGTAATTCAGCAGGAGAATAATATATTGTAATAATATTTTGGGGGCTTTTTAGCCTTTAATGTAATAGGACGGTGGAGAAAGATGAGGGGAAGACAGTAAACAGCCAGAGCCATCTTTATGGCTCAAAATGGTGCATTGTATTTTATGCATATTTACTTGATATTTCCAGGACCTTTTTTTTTTTTTTTTTTTTTTTACAAATGTTTAATTTCTCAGAAATTGAGGGAAATGTTTAAAGCGGTTGTGAGGCAAGTAAAAATAAGAGAGTAGTGTACTGTAATTATCTCAAAGTAATGGTTCATTTTGAAGTTGCTTCTTCATTATTTTTCTATAAAAGTTGCTGATGCAACAACAGGACTCAAATGTGTGGTCAAATCAGCACACAAACTGCAGGTACACAAAAGCAGAGAGACACGTTCTCTGCTGTGTACAAACTCAATGGGAAGCAAAATTACCCTTTGGGGGTTTCTATAAAAAAAAGAAGAAGACGAAGAAACAAAAGTCAAATGATCTTTGTGAGCCGAACACCTTTGTGAAAAACTTTTCAGCCAAGCTCTAGCTGGGTTAGGGTTAGTTTCCCCCGACCTCCTGTTTCTGAGTTTGTCCCTGAGTCAGCAAACCGATTTCCTGTTTCCGTGTCTGTGTAAGCACACAACCTTTCTGTTCATGAAAACATCCCTGGGTCAGTTAACCAGTTTCCTGTTTCTGAGTGTAAATACATAGGTGACCTTTCTGTTCCTGAGTATATTCCTCGGTCAGCTAACCAATGTCTACTTTCTGAATATCAGACAATCTTCCTGTTCCCAGGTCTGTGAGAGCTGATGACCGCCAGTCCGTGAGATTGTTCCTGGGTGTGGGTCACCTGGCATTTCTTTGATATACCACTGTGTCTGATGATCTTTAAATCCATTTCCATTGTGTTCTACAATCAACCTTCAAAGATCTAGAATCATTTACTTCCTTAGACATACAGACCACAGGATTTATGTTAAGCCAGTTTACTGGGACCATAGGTGGGGTTATATAACAATATATATGACGTTATTTATACATACTGATGTCCACTACACACTTAAAAGCGATCTATCTATCTATCTATCTATCTATCTATCTATCTATCTATCTATCTATCTATCTATCTATCTATCTATCTATCTATCTATCTATCTATCTATCTATCTATCTATCTATGTGTGTGTGTGTGTGTGTGTGTGTGTGTGTGTGTGTGTGTGTGTGTGTGTGTGTGTGTGTGTGTGTGTGTGTGTGTGTGTGAAAGAAATTGGTCTTCACCAGTCAGCAGGGATTTGTTCAAGACAGTTAGAGTTAGAGTGACACACTTGCATACCTTATTGCACCAAGCATGTTATTCTCTCTGCTTTTTATTTGTGAACTAGGAAAATGTGCCACATATATATCAGGGCACTAATAGTGAAATATCAAATGAAACATAAATACACCATGAGGAGATAATTTGCTCATTTGCAGTGCTGGTTTTATTATGAATTATTTGTGAAGTATAGCACCAGAAACTGAACTTCCTACATCTCATCACCCCAGACATCATTCTTTATGCTTGTGATAGGCAACAGTATATGCTTCCACTCCACATTAGCACAATGTGCAAATACTCGATATTGCTAATATATTGGCATAGAAAGGACCAACTACCAAATGTTCTTTGTACTTGTATTGAATTACTTTTTAACAACATCTTGAGAGAAATATTAAAACCCATCAGTGTAAAAGTAATTAATACTACTACTACATATGTGTAAGTCCAGCATCATATTCTATAAAGAATATGTGCAGTGACTTTATATAAACTGATATTCAGTCTTTTAACTGCCTCTTCGTCTACATGGTGCTATCGTAGCAGTTGGCCCAACGAGGTCATCATTTTATTTATTTTATTTTATTTTATTTTATTTTTTTGCCTGTCCCGTTTGGATCTTTAGCCATCAGAAATGTTTTCTGAAGGCCAAGAAAGAAACATCTTGAGAGAAATATTAAAACCCTTTATTTAAGCAGAAGTAACAATATTGCAAGTAACACCAGTGACAGCCTTTTAAACACGCCCCTTTTTTCACATTTATAACACTGGCAGCCAACAGTCTGAAAGCCCAGTTTTATTTCCACAGATGTTGTTGGGCTTTTTTTCTCTCTTCAGATGAAGGTAATGTAACAAACTTGAAATGTTTTACTACTTGCTAAAACACTCATTTGTATTCTCTGAGTTTAATCTTCAATCTTCTCGTTGGTCTGCTCTTAAATATTAATAGCAACATTTCCTTTTTTGCTTTTCTGTTTTTCTTTTTTCTTTTGAGGATTATTGCGTTTTGAATGGCAAAGTTAAGTAGATTTAAATTTATTAAACTATTTATTAAAATTAAACACATAGATTTTAATTTACTTTACTTTAATTTACTTAATATTATTGTGACTAGTTGTGTACAGGTTTTGCAACTACTGTGTAATAGGGAGCAGAGATAAAACTGTTTTATTGAGAATTGTTTTGGGTTTTTGTTGTTTTTGTGAACATTTTGCACAAAGGACATTCGTTTAATTTTCTAAACTTAAATCTCTGTTTATGTGTCGCTCTATTTGAGAGATAATTCCACTAAGATATGTTCAAAAGAAGCATAGGGTTCATCAGTGTTGTGAGGTGGCAAGCAGAGATGATCCACCTATTAGCTGAAAATGACAAGTGGTCAAGGAACTTTTCAAACTCTTCCTTTAGGAAAAGAAACAATAAAACACCACGAAAACAACACAGAACCCAGAAAACTGTATTGCTGGAAAACCTTTAATAAAGTATCAAGACCAAAAATAATTATTTTTATATTTGTTCCCCATCAGTGTAAAAGTAATTAATACTACTACTACATATGTGTAAGTCCAGCATCATATTCTATAAAGAATATGTGCAGTGACTTTATATAAACTGATGTTCAGTCTTTTAACTGCCTCTTTGTCTACATGGTGCTATCGTAGCAGTTGGCCCAATGAGGTCATCATTTTATTTATTTTATTTTATTTTATTTGCCTGTCCCGTTTGGATCTTTAGCCATCAGAAACGTTGTCTGAAGGCCAAGAAAGATGCCAAGTGGATTTACTTTACCAAGTGGATCATCATGGCCTTGCCATATTGGTCCATTTGATTGACCTTTATTATAATTGTGTATTTATTTTATTTTTGTTTTTTAAAGACGGGACAGACATGACTGGGGGATAGGACAGGGAGAAAGAATGAAAGAAAGAGAGGGAGAGAAAGAAAAATAGAGGGGAGAAGAGATGGTGAGAAAGGGGGGAAGAAAGAAAGAAAAACAAAAAAAAGAAAAACAAACAAAACACCTGGATCACCTGTATGGGGATAAAAAAAACCAGAAGAGAAAACAAATAACAAAGAGCAACATAATAAAAACAACACCATCACAATAAACTAGCTAACAATAGATAACAGTAGATACTTTTTAATTTCACCTGTTGAGAATGAAAAAAGAAAACAAGCAGAAGAAAACGAGAGCAATAGAATAAACAACATCACGATGATATATGGGAATATAACTGTAAATACTAAATATTAAACATTATTGTGCAGCATGTAAGAGGTCATCATTTTAGCCTCTCCCAGGATGCATTCGGTCAAGCATTTTACTATGACCAACATCCACTGTAATACTACTTTGTTACAAGAAGAAGGCATCTGTTTCATCTGCCTTCACACCTTCTGATGTCGTGGTGTGGCTCCGTGTAGCTGACACTCCACTATCTTGTACTGTATTTTGTCTAAATTTGACATTTGCTTCTGTTGCTCTGTTCATTACTTTCTGTATCATCTCATTCTCTTTCTTCCTTGTAGATGCAGCAATAATCATGTCGCCAGTTACCATGTGAACTCTTGGAACACCTCCAAATGTTTCACAGTTGCGCTGCTGGAAAACTTCACTTTCAGATTTGATCCCAAATGGTAGGCATTTGAACCTATATCTTCCCCATGTAGTACTGAATATACACAGAATTGATGACTCTTTGAATATCTTGACTTAGCAGTAACTATATTTTCATCGTGCTCTGTAAATATTTTCTAGCTGGCAAACCTACTCAAAACTTCATCAGTTGTTGAGATTGAGTAATGCTGTCTCGAAATTGTTTTATTTAAGTCACTGGGGTCCAATCATAACCTTAATTTTTTGTTGTCTTTTCTGTGGGGTGTTTCTTGGGTGTCCAACCTGAAGGCTATGCTTCTGCTGGTCTAGCTCTTAGGGTGACTGAGGCACGCAAAGCCCCTGACCACATTAACTGAAAAATAAATCAACAAAAAAATAAAATAAAATACTCCTCATCAGATTATGACGACTAAAAACATGACGTTTACCTTAATTGGATGGCCTACATCAAATATAACAATAACACTTCTCACTATTGCTAATATTAATGAAACTAAAAAGGGTAGGCCTAGTTAGAAAAAAAAAGTAAATTCGCCAGATTTTAATACTGACTATTAATTAAAACTAAACATAAATTTTAATGTAATTTACTCCATTTTGAAAAGTGAAGTTTGAAGTCAATGTTTTTTTTAAAGCTCCTTGTTTCCTGTTGAAACATGAATATACCAAGCAACATCCCCTGCTTGGCATATGCATGGGTGCATCCTTTATTCAACAATGTGTGCAGCCATTCAGTGCAAAATGAATCATGCTGACAAACCAAAAATTTCACTTTCCGAGGCTATGCGGTGAAACATTACTGCAGTGTAACAGATAAAATCTCTGGGCTAGTTTCACTTTATATGAAGATTGTGGTTAAGGCTGTTCTCTCCATTTAAATCTCCAGGTGAAGGAAACATAAGTTTGAAATATTTTGCTTACTAACACAAAGTGTTGTTTGACTAAGTATACTAGATATTTTATATTGATTAGTTACATCTTCTGGAATCTGAAAAACATGACTCAGATAATTCCATATTTTTGGCACTGTTTAGACCACTTGGTAAATAGTGAATGTTATTTAAACATTGCAGCCTATCTGAGTATTGATGCTGACCATCTCACACCCCGTGTACTCATCTTCTGAGGGCTGGTTCCAAGAGAAAAATACACCACGTCACAAAATTCAAATAATCTCAGACTGGTTTCTTAAACATGAATGAATGTTTTGTGGGTCATGTTGGGTCCTGGTTCTGTCCAGCCCTTCATATTTGACACTCTTTCTTCGATCTCTGCCACTGTGATGGTTATTAGTCTGTTCAGAGATGTTGTTGTGATCTACTCTTAGATCCATTAGCCCCTGGGCATTGTTGTTATGCGTTGCTTCCATCTCCCATATGCTCTTTCAGTATTTCTCTGTTTGCAGTCTTGGTGGGGCTGTTCTCATACTGGTCCCCTGCCACTGAGAGTAGAAAAAGATATATATAACTTTTTACCACCCTACTCTATTCATAATCCATTGCAGATGGATCCACATATTTGATTTGGCACACATTTTGCCAAACCAAATAAGGAAAAATATGTGTCAAATCAAATGTTAGCAACCCTCCCAGAATTTTGCGTCTCCTCCTGGTCTTGAACATGGGATCTTTCACCTGTGGCTAATGTGTTAGCCACTACACAATAGAGCCAACTAGGGGAAGAAAATGACTTTCAAAAGATATAAAGAAATGATAAAGAAGTGATTATACTAATTTTTTACATACATTTTGCGAAAACAAACCAAAAAAGGCAACCCCTGACTTTACCACCTTTGTCATCTGAACAGGTACTCAAGAAATTTCAATGGGTCTAGTTTGAAGAAATTGATTGTAACAAAGGCCATTTTCCATCAGGTTAAAGCCGGCCTCTTCCGCTCTCTCATTGGCCAGTGTTAGTGTCCCTCTCTTTTAATGACTATATTCATCATAAGTTTGCTCATTGGTAAAAGGTAGGCCCACCTCTATTTTGAAATGACTTTATTGACATTCAGGGAGGAGTTCCAGGTCAGGGGTCAAACTGTCAGCCATTAGATCCAAAGTTCAGCAGTTTGAGGAATAGGTATCATCTCCTTTTACCAGCAGTGACATGCCAGTGACATGCCAGTGACATGACACGAGCAAAAAGAAAAAAATAGAGAACGCTCAGACAGAAAGGATAAGGAGAGAGCAATGGTCTGTAAAATCCTTTTTGGGAGTTGTTCTGTTGTTGCCTCTCCAGTGATCCTATTGTCATTTTCATTTACACCAAATCAGGTGAAAGGGAATCACAATGGTTTATGCTAACTGACTGGACCAACTGATACCAAAGCACTTTTATGACTTTGTGTTATACTGTTCTGTATACTGATCAAGTGTTCACTTAATTTAGTAGTGAAGTAAAAATAGTAATATTTATAGCAAAAATTCCTATGATAAAATATTAATACATTTATTTTAATAAAACTTCATTTGATTTATTTATTCATTGTATTTATTTCTAAGCATCCTTTCAGGCTATGAAGTAACAACAAGTATTTCAAGTATTTCAAGAAAGTGAAATACCTGGTATGTATTTTAGCAAGTTTTGTTAAGTTGCAGTCTGGTTCACTTCTCGGGGCCAAAGTAAAAATCTCTTTATTTATGCAGCACATAAATAGTTAATTTGATGTGCTACAAAGACAAATTGTACAAAATTACAAGAAATATGCAAAAGATTACAAGAGAACAAAACATGATTACCATATATTACATCATTACAAACAGAGGACAAAGGAAGTGCAATTAGACACAGAACATTTCTATAAACAGTGAATCCACACACACACATAAAACATGCTAGTGTTGAGGTTGGTGAGTGAAACAGAAATACTCAGTGTATCATGAGAAGGCCACAGAAGTCTAGGCTGTGGGCAAATTAGATTCTGAATTAAACAGGGATCCAATGAATATTTTGCCAGTATAGGAGAAATATGCTCTCACTATCTAATCCCTATCAGTACTGTGGCTGCAATAATTTAGATCAACTAAAGGCTTTTCAAGGAGTTTTTATGACTCCCTAATAATAATTACTTACAGTAGTCCATCTGTAAAGTAATAAATGCATGAACTAGTATTTTTATTTCAGAGATAATGAGATGGTTAATAACATCTTTTTATTAAACAACAACCTTAATTTTCTAAGTCCCGTTAATTTATTTGGTAGTACCAGATTGTGACAAGTACATGGATATGTTACTGGTATAAGGTACATGGAAAAATTGTAGGGTTTTATTTCACAAAAATAAATCAAATGTCGTATTGAGTACTCATATTCAGGTTTAGGATTTTTCAAAGAGGTATGCAACCAAGAAAATACATTCAATTAGCATGAAGATGACCACATTTAAGTGGAAATTCATTGCTTTTAGAAAAGAGTTTTAAAAATATAACTTCTTGAAACATTTTTTTTGATTGTTTAGAAAATTTCTAACCACATGTAATATGTCCACATAATTAATATTAAGTGGATGCTTTTGGACCTCAGTACCCAAGCAGAATTCATGGATCAGTTTGATGCTATTCACACTATATTCACATTCTTAGATTAAGAACACAGAATTCTCTAATTTTAGATTAAGCATACATTTTCATTACTATGCAGATGATACCCAGCTCTGTACATCAATGAAGTCAGATGCCACACACCAATTAGTTAAAGCACAAAAATGTCTTAAATATTTAAATAGCTGGAGGACCTATATGTTTTTCCTTCTAAAGTTAGTTAGAACTGCAGTTATTGTGCTCAGCCCTAAAAATCTTAAAAACATGTCTAACCAGATACTTACTCTGGATGACATTATGATGGTTTCCAGTAACACTATGAGGAATGTTGGAGCTGTTCTTGACATGAAGTCCTTCAAAGAGCATAAACAAATATAGGAATGCTTTATTGCATTTGTGCAATATCTCTAAAATTAGAAACAACCTTTCTCGGAGTGATGCTGAAAAAGTAGTTCAAGCATTTATTACTTCTAGGCTGGACTACTGTGATTCGTTGTTATTACGCTGTCCAAAAAACTTATTGGGTAACTCTGAATGGTCCCTTAGTTATGCTGCTTAGGCAGCTGGGGAATTCCCATGATGCAGTAAGTATTTCTTCGTCAATCATCTTTTTCACTGACTATGTGCCACCCTGCATTTCATCATTAGTCATTTGGGGTGGCTGTGGCTCAGTGGGTAGAGTAGATCATCTACTAATTGGAAGGTTGGTGGTGCGGTGGAATTTTCTGTTAATAAAGTCTGGGTGAATGAGGCATGTTATATAAAGCACTCAAGTGATCAAGTAGAAAACACTACATAAGAACTAGTCCATTTAACATCCATTGTTAATCTCTGGCTCTCTTCCACAGCATGTTTTTTTTCCTGTCTTCCTCCCATCACTGCCGACCGGTCACAGCAGTGGCTGCACCTCCCTGAGCCAGGTTCTGTCGGAGGCTTCTTTCTGTTAAAAAGAAGTTTTTCCTTAAGACTGTCACCAAGAGATTCATCAAAGTGAGTCATTTGATTTTGGAGGTTTTCTCTCTATTTTTGTGTTGTCTTTACCTTTCAACACATAGCATCTTGAGACAACTACTGTTGCTATTTGATGTTATATGAATAAAATCGAACTGAATCGAATTAGGACTGCTGCTATCGATTGTATTATTAATTATTATCTCAATTATTCCATCAATTACTGAAGTAATTGGATAAGAAATACTTTTGTCTAATTAATGAGTAATAATAAATAATCCAAAGATGAAAAAACAAACGCACACTCTTAGTTTCCCCTTGGCTTTCTGCCTGTAATTTTTTTTTTTTTTTTTTTTTTTGGGGGTGGGGGGGGGGGGGGGGGGGGGGGGGGAGGGGGGTTGTTCCCTGTCCTTTTGTCTGCGTTTATGCACCAAATGAAGGTTCAGAGTACCCGACCTTCTTCGAGTCCTTTGGTGGCTTGCTTGTTTTGTAAACTTGTAGAAGGCATTCTACCTTGTTCCTCCAATGTCCTGTGGGAGGCATTGCGGGAGTATGGGGTGTTTGGCTCACGTCCCCAACTGTGTCACCAACAAAGTACCCCACACCATCCCACCATCTCCTTTATATGTTTCACGGTGGGAAACATGCATGTAGAGACCATCTGTTCACCTTTTCTGTGGCACACAAAGATATGGTAGGTGGAAACAGAAATCTCAAATTTGGACTCATCAGATCAAAGCACATATTTCCACTGGTCTAATTTCCTGGTGTAGGGTTTCTTGGCCCAGACACATTTCTTCTGTTTGTCATTTTCCTTTAGTAGTGGTTTCTTAGCAGCTATTTGATTATAAAATCATGACTCGTGCAGTCTCCTCTGAACAGTTGATGTAGAGATGTGTCTACTACTAGAACTATGTGTGGCATTTATCTGGACTCTAGTCTGACATACTGTTAAAGCTGGTGACTCGGATGAATTTATCCTCAGAAGCAGAGGTGACTCTTGGATTTCCTTTCATGCAGCGGCCTTCATGCAAGCCATTTTAGTCGTGGCGCTTGTTGGTTTTTGCAACTGTACTTGGGGACACATTCAACGTTTTTGCAATTTTCCAGACTGACTGACCTTCAGTTCTTAACCTCCTAGGACCTGGCGTCCACATAAGTGGACATCACATTTTGGGTTATTTAGACCAAAATACTAAATTTTGCTCTACAAGGGCCTGATATCCACTTACGAGGACATTATACTGCTACTGTTCTATCGAAATTTTAAACGAATATCCTCATATGTGGCTCTTTTTTTTCTTTGAAACAAAAATCAGGTACATTCATCGGGTCCCAATCAGCCCAAATATCAAAGAGAAATTAAAAATGCATGCCGTGGAAGAGTTCGGGTCCTAGGAGGTTAAAGTAATAATGGACTGTCGTTTTTCTGTACTTAGATGATTGGTTCTTGCCATAATAGGAATTGTAATAGTTGTCAAATGGGACTTCTCCACAACCTTCTTAATTGGACCGGGACCCAGTCCAATTAAGAAGGCAAGAAATTCTACAAATGAACCTTGACAAGGGATATATATATGACTTGTGGTCCAGATTGATGGTTGTATTAGACACATTACATTTACAACAGTTACAACTTTAAACAGCTGCTATTATGTTAAACATTATTCTAATTTCTTTTTCATTTTTCAGAAACAAGCATCACGGCTAAATACATAATCAAGAATGGGGAACGAAGTACCAAAGGAAAGTAACATGGGCAACAGCCTTAGATGCTGCAAATGTGGTACAGTCCTGGCTCCATGCAAATCATTTGCTGACTTACAGCAAATTACTACCATTAATGGACGATGTGTACATAGGTTTAATGGAGGTCAATACTACAGACCAGTTGGTTACAATGACGCATATGAGTGTGATTATTGCTTTAATAAGCCAATCAGAGACCAAGAGGAAATGAGAAGAAGAGAAGAGGAGAGGCAAAGGAGAGAGGAGGAGAGGAGAAGAGAAGAGGAGAGGAAGAAAGAAAAACTGAATCAAAGACTACAAGAATCTAAACAGCGAGCTACAGAGCAGCTTGAGAAACAACTGAGTGGCCCGATCTCAGATGAATTTGAGTCCAAACGAGATGTTCTAATAGGGCATCTGGATGAGTTTGAAGCTAACTATGAATCAGGCAGTGACAGTGATGAGTTTCTTGAAATCCTCTCAGTGAAATGCAGTCTTCCACTTTCAAATCTCAGTCTGACTCAGCTCACAGGTGATCAGCTCAGTGAGATCCTTTCAGTCCTGGACAAACTTCTGTTTGATGAGTGGATTCGTGCTCCTCCATCCATCAGCACTCTGCAGCACACTCAGGTGTTCATCACAGAGCTCTGTGCTCTGTCTCTGGAGATATCTGAAGACGTTTCCTTACACACCGTCTCCAATCATATGCAGTCCCTAGTGGAATCCATCAGCCAATCAGCATGCAGTGTTTTTGAGATTTTCCTCTTGACTCAAGCCCTGTATCTGAACCTGATGCACCTTTTCAATGACAGCGGAAGATCTGATAGGGATGCCGGCTTCGTAGCCAAACAATGGGCAAAATATGAGATTTCCACTGAGAACCTCTTTATAATTGAATTCCTGAGCACCCTTACATCATCACTGCAGAGTGCAGTTGGAAGAGCCTCTGTGTTCACTTTAAAGATGGAAATCCAGTGTTTAAAGCTTCTCTTATCCACACTCACAGATCTAAATGGAAAAGAAGCCCACTCAAAGTCCACTGAAATGCTCCTCAAACTTGTGCAAATGAACCAATGGACTACAATGGAGGCAGTCACTCTGCTTAAAGCACTATCACAGAAATATGCAGATGATGATTCTATAACTCAAATCCTTACCTTGGTACAAGTGTATGACATACCACCAGATTGGATAGATGACTGTGGGCACTCTCTAATCCAGCTCCTTGAATCTGCTGCTCCTGAGAGATTTTGTCAGGATTTCCAAAAGACTCTAAGAGGAAACGATGAGAACAGTGTAACTGCAGTTCTAGCAGAAGTAAAGATGCTGTGGAATTTGGATGACTCTGTCATTGATATGATAAAAAACATTAACACTGGTGTCCTGAAATATACAGAAAATGTACCAAAAGAAGAACCTTTTATAAAAGATTCAGTTAAATGTGAATCTTTGAATGCAGACAACATACAGAAGTGTCTGTGTCAGCTCTGCAAAGCAGTGTTCAACATAAAAGGCTGGTGGCCCACGGTGAGGCAGGTGGTGCGGTGGTGTGGACTGGTGCTGACTCAGCAGAGTGGAGTGGTACAACTGGTTGGTGTGGAAGAAGACCCATGTGTTACAGCCATGTTTGCAGCCATGCAAGTCTGCATGGGAAACAAACTAGACATTGTGCTGAGCTCTGATGTTCACTCAGAGGAGCAAACAAAGGAGTGGTCTGACTTCTACAAGCACCTTGACATTTCACTTAACACAAACATGAAGAAGACTGACCCATCATTCCGGGATGTCTATGAAGCAGACATTGTTTATGGTACAATGGATGATTTTGTGTCAGATTATGTTCAACGTGGCATAGAGGCAATGGAAACAGGAAACCCACAGTTAAATCGTGGATTCATTATTGAAAAACAAAGTCTCAGTGCTCTGCATGCTCTGGAACTTTCAAGACTCAAAGACAATGACTCCTTGGTGTTTGCTGCAGAGGTCCTGCAGAACCTCATGACTAAAATTTGCAGTGAAGATGTGGAACTGAGACATATGTTTATCAAGATCCTTTTTCAGGTCCTCCACAGTACCCTAAACAAAAATACAACCACTGACAGTAAAATCATTACAATCACAAAGAAAATCAGTAAAAAGGAATTTCTTTCTAATGAGGTCTTCATTCTGAACTTTCTTGAGAATCTCCTGAAAAGTTTTACAAAACAAACAGAAGCTGTTAAAAACATGACAGATCCTGCAGGGAAATGGTGTTTTGAGAATTTATTTGCCTGTGTGGAACAATTCCAAGACTTAGACAAAGAAACCAAAGAAGTCTTCAAGATGGTTTCAAATCTTGGGGAACAAACACTTTGGTCACCAGTAGAGGTCTTAAACCTTCTTGAAGCATTAACTGATAACCACAATGACGACGACTGTATTCCCATCATGAAGATTTTGCATTTGATGGAAACATGTCGGGTTTCTTCCAAGTGGAAAGATGAAAACAACAACTCTCTCCTTGAGCTCATAGATTCATGCACAACTCAGAATCTGATCCAGCATCTAGAAAAGAGCCTTAAAGATGAGAAAACTGAAAGCACTGACAACCTTTTTGATGAAATACGGCAGATGAAAGAAATTGACAAACAAACACTGAGTAAATCATACAACATAGTAACTCATGTAACAAACTTAATCAAAACTGGTGAAATTAAAAAACTGGCAGATATTCAGCGCGCTAGGACTCTCAGTCACAGCATGGAGACAGAGGACCTTCAGGAGATCCTTGCAATCTTATGCAATGCTGTACACCTCCACAAAGCAGAAAGGAAGTGGTTTCCCAGAACCACTCAGATGATAAGCTGGTGCCTGTTGGCCCTGTCTGACACTGGGAAGCTCCTGGAGATGGGAACTGGAGAAGGAAAGTCTTGTGTCATAGCGATGCTTGCAGTGCTGCGTGTGCTTAGAGGTGAAAAGGTGGATGTGGTGTCCAGCTCTTCTGTGTTATGTCAAAGAGATGCTAAAGAATGGGCCAAATTTTACAAATACTTTGGCATTACAGTCGACATAAACACAAATAAAAATGAGGATAAAGATCGGAAAGAATGCTATCAGAAGGACGTGGTCTATGGAACCATTGAAGCCTTTGCTGCTGATCACCTTCGCCAAATATTTGAGATGAAGGATGTGAGGCCTGATCGTAACTTTCAGTGCATCATTATCGATGAAGTGGACTCACTGCTGCTGGATCAGGGAGTGCAGCTGACATACCTGTCCAGCCCCATGGTGTCCATGCAGCACCTGAACATTATTCTCACTATGATCTGGAGCCACGTCAGTCAGTATGGCTTCCTATCTACAGGACACCAGACATTTGTACGAGGTCCTCCTGCTTCATTCTTCAAGGCCATCTATGACTCAATGAACACAGAAGGCAGTGAAATTAGTGATCCAATGGACATTTTAACTATTGCTGAAGAATCTAACATTGTGCCAAAAGGATTTTCAGAAGATATCTACAAGAGTGAAAACCATGAACTTCTCAGTAAACTGAAAACAGTGAGTCAGGATTCTATGGTAGACTTTTTCAAAGAAATTGAGGACTATGTCCCTTACGGCTTTACTGTTTACACGCTAGATGACAAAGGACTGCTCTGTCTTCGAAAGTGCAGTCCATACAATGACCTGGACATCCCAGAGCTTTCATTTCTTGTGCTGGAGGAAGGATTGTGTTGTCCTCTCTATGAGTCAGAAGAAGTTCTCATCAAGCCCATTGCAGAATTGATCTCTGAGAGGATTCAGTACACCCCATGTGAAAACAATACAGAAAAAATCAGCATTCCTGGTTTCTTGAAGAATCTGGTGGAGAAGAAAGTCTCAGTGTGGGTTCAGAATGCCTTTCTGGCAATGTTACTGAAAGAAGGACGTGAATATGTCGTAGAAAATGACAACGTCTGTCCAGTGGACTTCAGATCCACTGGTATTGTTGAACTGAATAAGAAATGGGGTGATGGTCTGCAGCAGTTTGTGGAGATTAAACACCAAGTCAAACTGAGCACAATTTCAACAGTGACAAATTATATTTCCAACGTTTCGTTTTTTGAGAAATACCAGGGAAAAATATATGGAACAACAGGAACACTGGGGAGCAAAGCAGACATTCAGTTTTTGCAGGACCTGTATCCAAATCTCTCTGTGTGCAAAATACCAACATTCAACAGGAAAAAGTTATTTGAGGTCAAAGGTACTCTGAAAAAAACAGCTGAAGAATGGAAATCTGAAATAAAAGATGTGGTCACAGCTCAGATTTCCCCAAATTCATACAGAGATGGAAGAGCAGCGTTGGTGATCTGTGAAACTATAAACAAAGCAAAAGAGATCTACGAAGAGTTGAAGAGCAGCATCCCAGGTGAAATCATTCTCTACTGCCACAGTGACAGAGACAGTTTGAGTAAAATAGACAAGGAGCTGCTTCCTGGTGATGTCATTGTTGCCACAAACCTTGCCGGCCGTGGCACAGACATTAAAGTGTCCCCAGAGGTGAACAATAATGGAGGGTTATTTGTGATCCTCTCTTTCCTCTCTGAGAACACAAGAGTGGAACTCCAGGCTTTTGGACGAACTGCACGCAAAGGTAAACCTGGATCTGCTCAGATAATCATTTCCACTGAACACCTGCAGCCATCTTTCAGCACAGTGTCCTCTCTGGAGGAAGCCAAGAGCACAAGAGACCGACTTGCAGCAGAAAAGATAAATCATATAATGAACGATGTTGCTGAGATGAAACTGCGGGAGGACCTTTTTTCAGAATACTGTGAAACACTTCAAGATATTTATAACACCACTGATGGAGACGAGGAAAAAGCTGTTGTTGCCATCATGAATGAGTTCTGGGGGATTTGGCTGCAAACTAAATCAGAAGAAATTGATCAGTTGAAAAGAAATGAACTGCAAGAGAGTCTGAAAGCTGATTTGTCAAAGGCAAAAAGTCAGTGTCAATGTCAGACTTCACCAAGTTCCAGCATTTATCACTACATCAAGTTTGGAAATGTTGCACTGGGTGATGGAAAGTGGGATACCGCAGCCAGACTGTTTGAAAAAGCCATGACAGAGGATAAAAGCTGGGCAGCTGTAGCATTTTACAATCATGCATACTGCACTATACAACAAAAGAAAGCAGATTACCTCACTAAGGCCATAGATGAGCTAAAGGAAGCACAGAAGTCTGTGAAGTATCTCATTGAAGAACAAATAGTTTGCCTTCAGTTTGCAAAAATGTCCTCTGCAGACTCAACCGACAGTAATGCAACCAGCCTGGAAAAACAGTTATCAACCAGGTCCACAATGTATAGTTACTTTGACAACAACATTACTGAGGCCATCCAAAAGTTGGATGAAATAAAAAAGAAAGAAAGCAATGCAGCAGCCGAAGAAACAACGATTCGTGAACTGGTGTCAGATGCTGATGAAGATCTCCAGATAGAAGCTCACAATCTCTGCAGTCGAGGTCTGAACTTTGTATTTTCTGTGAAAGAAAAGCCTCGTTTCTCATGGGAAGGTCTGCTGGTGTTCTTTCTTGGAGTTTTACAGATTGTTGGAGGAGCACTGCTCACTGTATTTACAGTTGGTACATTTGCTCAAGTTGGAATGGGACTCATTACTGAGGGAATATCAGACTGCATCACTGGCATTGACGCCATGGTGACAGGAGAATTCAGCTGGAAGTCATGGGCTATAGAAAAAGCCATTTCTATTGGAGTCTCTCTCATTGGGTTTGGAGTTGGAAAGCTGATTTCAAAGGCCTTCAAATGCTGTAAATCCTTACTTAAATTTGGCAAACAGCTTAAGTCAATGCCAAAATTTCTCTCTATACAAGCTAAAGATGGCCTCAGTGTTGCTTTGAAGGCAAATATGAATAATGCAGTAAAATACACAGCTAAAAAATTTGCAGAAGAACTAATCGCCTATGGACTGGGAAAGGCAGAAGAGGAAATCATTAAAACAATGTTAGAAGAAATCAAAAGCAAGGTGAAAGACAGAACTGATCACGAAGTGAAATTAAAAATGGAAAAAGAGCCTTCATCTTCATTAGTAGACCTCATTATTCTTTCACACCTTGAGGACAAAAAGCAACTTCACGACCTTCTGAATGACGAGAGAAGAAAGGAAGAGCTGCTGGCCGTTTTCAGAGAGTTAAGCAGAATTGCAATAGAGCCATTCTATGCAGACCTCAGCTGGCAAAACAAACTGAATTTATCCCTCTCCGAAGTGATTAAAAAAGCTAAATCAGATAGCAAAGGAAAAATAAAAGCAATTCTGACAGTTATACAAGGTGTCCACATTGGCACACTGACAACAGAAGCCATCAGTGAAGTAGCCACCCTGTCAGACAAGTTCTTTTCAAACTTTCATAAACAGCTGAAAATATTCAAAGAAACCCAAAATTATTCAGAGAATATAAAAGTAAGTGATCTGTCTGCAGAAGACATTAAACTGCTGAAGGATTTCAAGCAGGATTTAGGCAGCACCATCAGTACTTTATTGGCTGATGCTTTGGTAGAAGTTTTCCACCAGAAGGTCTCCAGTCACATTGTTTCTATTGTTAAAGACCAAGCAAATGGTTTTATTGGTAAATATGTGAGAAAGGGCTTAAAGACTGACAGAACAGAGGAAAAGCTCAGAGCTGGACAGGACAACAGATGCATTGCATACATGCCAAAAAAACCAAATTCTAACCTAAAAGTTGAAGGCGAGGCAGATCAACACTCACAATCACATGCTAAAAAGATCAAGAATTCCACGACTGCAGGCACCATCCTTGATATCAGAGTCCTGTCAGAAGCCGCTGGCACTAAAGTTGTCATCCTAACAGAGGACAGCAATGGAAGACTTACCAAAATGCAGGAGCTGAGCCCAGACACTAGACCTGCCAATCAAACTGTGACCCTGATCTACAGACCAAAGAGTGACCAATACCCCGATGGCCATTATGATGTGCATATCAACAACCAGACAGTGAGCATAGACAACAAAGGCAAGAGCTGTCTGTTTTATGCTTTGGCACGTGGAATGAAACCACAAGCCAGTGAAGAAGAGATCACTTTGGAAGCAAATCGTCTTCGATCTGTGGAGGCCGATGCTCTTCTCAGACACCCAGGCCAATGGGAGCCTTTCATCAAGCGGAAAGAATTAACTGAAACAATCAAGGGAGGGGACTGGTACATGTTAGGAGCAGCATTAAAAGAGATGATAAATGAAAGCAAAGAGGCACTTCAAAGAGAAGTTGGAAAGGTAGGCTCCTATAAAGAGTTGCGAAAAAATACAACTAAAAATCCAGGAATTGGGCAATTCATTAACGCAGCTCACCAGCCACCAGTCAGTAGCATATTGAAGGCCAAAAAATTGAACCAGAAGAGCAGATTAGTAGAGGCCATGCTTGACGTGGCAACAAACTCATCTCCACTAAATCCAAATCAAATTTCTAAAGTGGTAGGTTCTCATGGCCATAAACTCCTGACTGCTTATGTGCCTAAAGAATTACATGAAGAATTTGGCATCACGAAAGCGCCACCCTTCAAAGACCTCTTAGCTTCAGCAATAAGTAAAGACAATGTTGTGGGTACCTTTAAGCTGATGATCCTTGACTGGATATCACGATACAGTCTGGATAGTACCAAGAATTTTCAGAACACCCCAATAAGTAAAACCAGGCTTGAATCTTTTGAAAACAGTTTTCAGAAACACAGCACAGAGATGGTAGAGACATGGTTTCCTCTACTTCAAAGTAAGGGTGTTATGACAAATGCCCATCTAACTACTATCACTGACTGGATCAACAAACAGGGCTACAATGAAAAGGTAATGCTCCTTTTAACAGACTAATGAACATCAATGCTTCTCACCAAACTTTCCATAATGTTGAGAAACTGACAAAAGTGATTTTTCTTCCAGTGCTTTGCCAACTGGGAATGTGACTGGTGAACAAGTACAAGGATCTTTCCCCCGCCTGATCACCATCAAAGACCTCACTGTATTTTGAAGATTGTGTTCCTTCCTATTTTAGTTACTCAGAAAAAAAATCAGTCTGTTGTCACCCTTAAATGCGAAAGATAAGAAAAAGCCAATACTCAGCATTACTGAATTAAGTTTAATGTTTACTGTAGTTTTCTCACCACTTTGGGCACTGGGAGTTTGCCCCAAAAGTGTAACTCTTAACTTTCCTTTTCTAAAAATTCTGCTAATAATCTCATGATTCTATTGATGGGAGTGGCAAACCACTGGCAAACAGATTATTTTATATTATTAAATGTATTTGGTTTGGATTCAAAGATAATTTTAAATGAAAAGTCAAATCTTTTTATGTTTTTAAAAAAAAATCTATACCGCCATGCTTTTCTTTTTTCAAAGTTCTTCAATACTTGTGTCTATTTCAAATTTAGGGCCAGTTTGCCATATATTCATTACTTATAATTCTACACATTAGCTATTTTTGATTTTACAAATAATATATGCACTTTTACTGTGGGATAGAGAGTATAAGTATGATGTGTGGTGTTCAAAACTTTAATATAATAATAAAGCACCACATTAGATTTGGGGGTTTTGTTTTGTTTTGTTTTAATTCATACCAATTTTGACACAATTAAAAATAAGCAAAATTCAAACAGCAAGTGGTAAATTGCTACTCAAACTGGCAAAGGATGGAAGCCTAGCCTGTTTACATGTGCTTCTATTATTAATTTTAACATTATTTTATATGGATATCTTGTGTGGAGGTCTGCTTAATCAATTTGATTGCTTGTAAAATATAATCAAACAAATATATCAGTAAATGGTGCAAGCTGCTAACATTTGTCAGCTTTCAATTTAAATATATTTTATTAATCAAGAGAATTAAACTCATTGCAGAAGAAAATAATGCTGCAAAATAAAGTGAACTAATAAAGGGAAATTATGTGATGTAGAAAAATCAAGTAATAACAGAAAACTATGTAATATTCTCCATCTGCATTAGTCCTTAAAATGTTTAAAATTTTGTTAAAAACAAGAATTTAAATTAATTGCATTACTTAAAGTGCTATAGCTACGGATGTTAAAAACTACTGATTAAATATTAGCAAACTATACACTGTTATTTTGATGATGTTCTGGAATGTATGTAACCTTAGATCTATCATAAATAAAATGAGCTTAAATCAGCAGTGTCTTATTTTAATCAATGGATACACTACTGGTCAGAAGTTTTAGAACACCCCAGTTTGTCCAGTTATTTACTGCAATTCAAGCCCTTCATTATTTAGGGTTGAGACTTAAGAGACTTTCCAGCATGAGACTGTAAACTTTAACCATCTGTGTATTTTTTGCACATATTACATTTGAACTAACTAAAGTGCTTGAAAAATTCAACCCTATTACTGGAGGATACTATTATAATTATCATCGTCATGGGTCTTCGATCGCTTTTTTGCATCAGTTAATTATGTTCTAGTTCCTGAGCAGGTTACTTTTCAGTGCCCCCGAGTTTGTATTCCTACTTCTTGATTTCGGGTCTGTTCATGTCTGTCCTATTCTCAGCTCTTTGTTTTGTTAATCCAGTCATGTCTCCATGTTTGTTTATCCCCAGTCCCAGTGTCAAGCCCACGTCTTAGTCTGAGTGTGTTTGCAAGTGCGCGTTACTTCCTGTTTTATTTTGATAGTCTCCTGTATTTTCCTGCTTCCTTGTCTGTTCAGAAGGATTACGGAGGTATGCCCACTCTACGCTAAAACCCCTCCTGTGTCTGTGTCTCCCTCTGTTCTCTGTTGTGCTTGCCACTCAAGCTGTGTATTCCTCATGAGTTCTCGCTTCTGTGTTTAGCAGTTCCCTTGTTTCTATTTTTTTCCTTTGCTTGAGTTTTTGCATTTTTGTATAATAAATACGTCATATTTTGTATTTTAAATACGTAGCGCTATATAAATGCAATCCATTATTAATAAATAAAGAAATATTATTTAAAATTATTTTGAATGCAAAGCAAATCTAGTATTCTGAAATAAGTATATCAGACCCAGTTTTACATGCCTATTTATCTTCTGCATTGTCTCAGTCAATGAACTGTCACAGACATTAGACACTAAGATTGTGTAGATGTACTTACTGAACCAAGTAACAGAATTACAATGGCTTGAATCTGTTTTGGTTGTCAGAAGAAGTCATGTAACACTCAACACATCTGACACAATTTCAAACGAGTTTTAAAAAGTAAAGCACAGAATAAGTCAGAATTTAAAAGCGGCACTGATAAAATGATGATAAATAATCAGATTTCCTCCTCTAAACTGAAAGAAACGTAAAGTCTGTGGATTGTGCAGTATTATACACAAGTTACATAAATTCATGCATATTACCAAAGAGTAAAGACTTTTTAATATCACAGCTTGACTTGATCTAACACTTTGAGGCCTAAAACATGAAACATTTTCCAGAAAATTCAAATTAAAAAAAAAACCTGGAGTGGGTATTGAACAATATTGAAAAACAAAAGTTTTTCAAAATGCAATTGCATATATGAGATTTATCTTGTATAACATTTGCTACATCTGGCACACTGATGATGTAGAAGTCTCAAAAACTAAACAAAAAAAACTAAAAAAAACCTCGTGATGTGATTTCTCTCACACAGATAACCTTTAATCTTGCAACCTAAAAACTAGCTTAAAGCCATGAACTAAGAAAATTTCTCTCTGAATACCTAAAAATTTGTTGGGGTTATTTCTTCGCGTGTTTTTAGTAGCATGCAGTCTTTGTTCATACCTTGGTAAAGAGAATACCTACTTCCTTCTGTTTTCCAGACTTTCTGACAAACTAAGCTAACACTGAATTAGTCATCAATCATATTTTTCACAGAGATGGAGAGAATTGAGCCAAAGGTTTACAATAGTTAGTACGTGACAAGTGATGGAAACTGTGGCTTTGACTGTGGGTTTGTGTGAGCATATATGAGCCAAGAGATGGCTGTTTGCTTTGTCTATTGCTGTTGCGTGAACTGCTATTTCCTCATTATTGTTTTGTAGATGTGGCTTATTGTGACACCAGTTTTATTCATCAACTATGGTTGAAAGCTTACATTCACATCACAGGAATAATTTCAGGGATTTTAATGATTTATTTGAAGTGTTCTTTCTCCCGGTTAGAATGATTGCACAGAGTACATCTTTAATTCTGTGCACTGCCACAGAGAACTGTTGATGTTGTAACAGCAAACTGTACTTTGGCAAATACATGAACAGGTTAAACAGTCAGTAAGTACTGAAAGTCATTACTGCAGGCAAATCACCAGCATCAGTCAGATCAGATCAAAGCTCTGCAAATATACATTTATTACTGCAAGTCAATAAGGAAAGGTCTGATGGATCTTCCAGGAATAGTGATGTTGCTTTTAAGATTACTGATTGGTTAGTAGGCGGCAATACCTTCATCTTCATAGTACAGAAACAGTTGCATACTTTGATCTCTTCAGTTTGTTTACTTGTAAGTTTGTGAAAGTAGATGTGAAAGGATTGTGGCTGCATATTCATAGGCTTTTTACATGTTATGATACTAATTTAAAGGCTTGTAAACAGATCTTGTGATTGTTGAGATAGCATGGATAGCTGTTACATCCTGTCTTCAGTCTTTATGCTACATAATTAAGTTTGTAAGCTGTTTTTTTTTTTTTAAATATAGTCTTCCATCTATCATCTAGGAAGAATATAAAGAAGCATAATGAAATTAAACTCAACTCAATTTTTTTCTAAACCAAGATTAAAGAAGTGGTTTTCACTGTAGTAAAACCACAGCTGTCAATGTATTTGGGTCACACCTCTTATGCACTCTTATTAATGTAAGTAAGTTTCGTGTTGATAATGACTTGCATGTTGTGGACATGACTTGCAGTTTCCTGGCAGTCTGTTATTGCCACATCTTTGTCCACAGCAGTTCTAGTGAGCATCAGCTTTCTGTTCATTTCGTTTGTCAGCCATGGACAAAACTGTGCTGCTGTTGTGCCTGCAGGTTGTTCTGCTCATCACTGCCTTTCCTTCGGACGCAGCTGGTCAAGTCGTAGTGAGAGGTCCAGATCAGTTAAAAAGATCCGCAACAGCAATCAAAAAGGTAGGGATACATACCTTTAATTATCTGTCTGAATTTACTACAAATTCCATATTATATTTTGTAGAGAGAGGAACTTAATGCAAGAAGAGAAAGCTCGCTGTTTTAGCTTGTATCAACAGACCTGGATCACGTGGCTGGCAAATGTGTTTGATTTTGAGTGTATTTCTACTTTTCCATTACAAAATTGGAACGTAGCATCATAATAGGTGTTTGTGCAGTTTTATACTCCCTTAAGTTCATTCCTTGTGTTTGGAAAGATTCATCAAAACTTGAAATTTTTTGGAAAACATGCATGGCGTATCCTCCAAACAAAAGAGGAGGGACCATCGGGCTTGTTATCAGTGCTCAGCACCAATGGAATTGACACATGTCAACACATGCACATGTCTAAAGCTGCCATTACTGCATGAATTTATATACATAAATACATGCATAAGAGCAACAGATGCTCCCAGTCATATGACATATTTTGTCAGGGGGTCCTTTGGATATTTCAGCAAGACATTGCTAAGCCACATACTGCATCTTTGCAATAGCACGGTTACGTAAAAGCAAAGTCCGGGTACCTAACTGGCCTGTCTGCAGTCCAGACCTTTCACCAACTGAAAACTAAGTGCACTGTGAAACAAGAAATACAACTGTCACGTACAGCTGTGTGGCAGGCAGAGGTGGGACCCAAAAGCAGGACTCAAAAACAGAGTTGTAAGCTAAAAGAGAAAGGTTTATTGCTGCGTAAAAATATTCAAAAATAAAAGAACTAACAACTGAAAACTCTGAAACTAGTAACAAAACAAGAAATAAACAATTAGGGAATACCAATAGAAACTAACTGATCAAACTAGGAACACACGAGAGACTACACAGCTAGCAGAGACAATGTGACAATGAGCAGAGAGCGACTGAAGATTTAAATACACACAGGATAACAAGGGGATGGGCAACAGGTGGGAACACAGGAGGAACAAATCAGAGACAAAAAGACGGGGGAAGAAAAACTGAGCAAAGTGCACAAGAGACCAGGACTACCAAAATAAAACAGGAAACACAACACAGAGCCAGACAGTGAGACAGCGATGGAGACATGATGGGGTGGGAAGAACACAGATGAGACCAGGACACAAAAGGAAACAGACTAAATGAACAAGTAACTAAGAACTCGTTACTTGTACCAAAACAGTACATTTTCTCAGTTTAAACATTTGATCTGTTGTTTTATTAGATCAAATGTGGGATTGTGAGATTTGCAATTTATTGCCTTCTGTATTTATTTACTGTTTACACAGGATCACAATTTTTCAAAGTCATTGTGGACTCTGTATATTAATCTATAAATGTCATGACCATGATTTCTTTATACAGTAACAACGTGTCTATATTTTATGTTGATTTTAATTTATCATCATTACATAAAAGCGCAATGTTCATGTCATTTCATTATAGGTGGCAAAAAGGACGGTCAACCCACCAAAGCAAAGACCACAGAAGAGAAGGTGTTCCCATAGACCTGGAGCATGCAGCCCATTGGTAAATTGTTTTGTTATTCACATTTTCTTTATTTCCTGCTGTTGCAGAACAGCAACTTGATAAACACTGAATCATCTTGTGAATTATCCTTCTGTTTCCAAAGCTTTCTTATTACAGAAAACAATAATGGATTGCAAAGCCCATGCAAGAAAAAGCTGGTCCTGTTACTATGATCACTATTGAATTTTTTTTTTTTTAATTTCAAGCACATAGATATTTAAAGCTAAAGCAGAGCAAAGACTGTTTTATCAGTTATTTATTCATTTCTCTCTCTGCAGGGCCAGTAATTTACCCATCACAGATTGCTGCGGCCAGAAACTCCTTCCTGCATTTTTCCATTGACCTGGGTGCTTCAATAATCTACGCATATAAACTATCACAACAACAGATTCTCTGCAAACATGTTGCAACATTGCAGTTGGTGCAGCAGTCACCTCGCATACATCACCGAAACAGACAGATGCTAAATTTGAACCAGCTCACTGGACTCCTCTGAGAAGTCAGAAATAAAACACAAATAACATTCAACCACTAAAACTAATTTTGG